TGAATCCAACCAATACAAGGTCTGTCACCAGTCGCTAGTCACAAGGAAACAAACAAACAAACAACAACAACAGCAGCAACCAAATAAATCGGAGAACCAGCCAGTGCTAGCCCTGGACTTAGCTTTGATCTGGGGTGGGGAGAAGAAACTCCTGTTTTCAGAAACCGCTTATCTAGTTGGAATAAGGCCTGCTGCTGCCTGGAGTCAAATCAATCATCCTAGAGCTAGGTAAGTAAGAGGAACTCTGATGTAGGCAGAGAGAGAGTATGTTCACTGCTTAGCAGCTGAGGCTGACAGTTCAAACTGTGCGGGCTGTGGCAGATCACTTCACTTCTCCAAGTGCAGTTCCTCATTTGGAAATGTAGGCAGTGATAGCACTTCAACTTTCCTGGTCCTGGTGTTGTGTGGTGCAGTAGATTAAGCTACCACCTGCAGTGCTGACATCGCACATCAATCCAGCTCCCTGCTGATGTGCCTTGTCGAGGCAGCAGAAGATGGCCCGAGTGTTTGGATTCCTGCCACCCACGCGGGAGATCCAGGTGGAGTTCCAGGCTCCTGACTTCATCTCGGCTCAGCACCAGCTATGCGCAGGCATTTGGAGAGTGAGCCAATGGCTAGAAAACTCTTTCTCCCTCCCACCCCTTTGCTGTCCCTGTTTCCCCTGACCTCTGTAATTCTGCTTTTCAAATAAATAAATCCTAAAATAAAAAGAGACAGGGTAAGCAAATGTCTAATGACAGAACAGTACAGCTTGTAACAGATGCCCCAAGAACACTGTCCACAAAATATTAATAATAATAATAATTCAGGCTCCCCACAGAGTTCTTGTGATGATTATATCTGAAGTACAAAGCGTCGAGAACACGGGTGTACGTGGTAAGGGCTCCGTGAACCTCAGCACTTTTCAGTGGTTAAGGGCTGATCTTGTGCCAGGTATGTGGTACCCCTGGGGTCCAAGACAGCAGGTCCAGAGGGATCTAAATCCACAGAACCCTTGTGACCCATCCCCCAACCCGCACCTTTCCTCAAAGCCTTCAAGAAGAAGAAGAAGGGCAATTTGCATTAAAAGTGTGGGGGAAATTTAAGTGGAATCTAAGATAAGAGCCAGGGACTTCAAAGACATTCCCTGCTAACATAAGATGCTTCAGGTTACATCTTCAGCCTGCCCCCACCCCAGACCTTCCACAGATTCTTCCCCTTCCCCCCTCCCCTCACGTTCTTAAAGCCTCAGGATATTTGAATACAAATGTTACAGCAACACAGACCTGTGAACTCCCGGAATCCTCAGGATCTCGCAATCATTCCATGGCCAGAAAACCCAGGTTCAGGATTCAAATTCTACCACTGGCATCTTGGAACCCTGTGAACTTAGCAAGTCATGTTACCTCAGTTTGTCCACCTATAACATCAGGTGTCAGGTGGAGGGAAGAGGTGTAATCATGAGGATCACAGTAAGAGGGAACTTCCAGAAGTTCAAAGAACATAAGTTAGTTTGGATGATCCCCCAATTTGGAAAGCCATGTATGTATACAATGACAGGTGGTCAAGAAGTTCAGAAAAATGTGGATCATGGGAAAACTATAAGTAGATATCAAAAACATTTTACACTGGAGTGTCGTGGTGCCGCAAGTTAAGCTGCCTCTTGGGGTGCTTGCATCCTGGATGGGGTGATACTTTGAGTTCTGGCTACACTGCTTCTAACCCAACTTCCTGCTAATGAATCTCAGCTGAAGTGGGATTGGGGAGGGGGTGGAAGACAGGCATCAGATGATGGTTCAAGTGCTTGGAACTTTGCCACCCACAGTGGCAACCTTCCATTTGCTGGTTCACCCTCCAAATAGGGCAAAAGACCAGAGCTGAAGCCTGAGCCCAGAAGCTTCATCTGGGTCTCAAATGTGGGTATAAGGGCCCAAACCCAGGAGCCAGCTTCCCCTTATTTCCCATGTGCATTCTCAAGAAGTTGGATCAAAAATGAAGCAGCTAGGACTCAAACCTGATCGCCTATATGGGATTCTGGCACCACAGGTGGCACACGGATTTATCTCTATGCCACAACACTGACCCTGACAAATTTATCTTTTTTTTTTTTTTAAGATTTTATTTATGTTTATAGGAAAGTCAGAGAGAAGGAGAGACAGAGAGGAAAATCTGTCTGCTGGTTCATTTCCCAAGTGGCCCCAATGACTGAAGCTGAGCTGATCCGAAGCCACGAGCCAGGAGCCTCTTCCAGGTATCCCACATGGGTGCAGGGTCCCAAGGCTTTGAGCTGTCCTCTACTGCTTTCCCAGGCCTCAAGCAGGGATCTGGATGGGAGGCAGAGCCACCAGGATTAGAACTGGTGCCCATATGGGATCCTGGTGCATGCAAGGCAAAGACTTTAGCCATCGGGCTACTGTGCCGGGCCCCACAAACTTATCTTTCAATTCCATTTTCCACCGGCTTTATCAAAAGCCCTCCTCTGCCTGCTTTACAGGATTGTGAGAAATAAAATAATCCCAGAAAAGCACTTGGAACAAAGCTGGTCATGAAAACACATTTTCACTATACCTTAGATGTTACCAAATCCATTCTTGCATCTCCCAGGGCAACACTGTCAGCCAAGTGCCACCCCGTCCATTTCATGGGGCAGGCTCTTCAAAGCTATTAGAAGGTGGGGAAGGAAGATCCCTGCTCTTAACTGACAGCAGGCATCCTTGCCCCAGGGAGACTGTAGGAATAAGTGACCTCTAAGATCCTTTCCAGCTCCCAGGTTCAGTTATTGAGGTTCATGCTTGGAGCCTTTTCATCTCACCCTCATGGCTGGGCCTGAAGCAGCAGAACTCAGGAAACAGGGGGAGGGATGGGCCAAGGAGAGAGATGCCTTGGCCGGGTAGGAAACGGCTGCGGCCGCCCTTCCTTCTAAGCCGCTGCCGCTAAGGGGCTGTGTCCTGCACTCCGGCCCCAGCAAAGAGCAAAAGGGAAACGCCTGGGCTCACAGGAAGCTGACTGGGGCCTCCTTTCCCTAAAGGGGGAACTCGCTCTGGCGGGGGTGGGGGGCGGGACTCAGAAGCCCAAGGCTCAGCAGGACCAAACTGGTCGTAGAGAGAGGCGGGATGGGGATTGGGGGGGTGAGGGAGAGCATGCCTTCCAGGTTTTTTTTTTTTTTTTTTTTTTTTGTACCAGCTGGCTTCTTAGTCCAGAAGGGTGATTACTGCTCAGCCAGAAGGTGCTGGCAGGGAAGAAGGGACTCTCCTTGATTTACGATATTGGAGGAGGAAGATGGGAACAGAAAGGAGTCCATAAACTGGAGTGGCTCAGCAGAAAGAGCAGCAGGGTCAGCTCTGTCTTGGTTTTGAAAGGAGTCACTGTGTGACCTTGGGTACAAACTCTTCCCCGTATATGAAGGCTTCGGGCAATAAACATGAAGGTTCATCCAAAAGTTCCTGGAAAATATCTGCTAATTTAAAAAAAAAAGTATGCAGGGATTTCAAAAATTTGCCCCCCCCCCCATAAACTTATCTTTGAATTCCATTTCCCACCAACCACTTGAAGTCCCCTCCTATTCTGTCAGTATTTACTATCGGGTAGTGTTGCCCTGGGGACATGGGATGAAGGGCATGGAGATGAAAATATTAACTTGGAATTCCTTTCCAGCTGTACTGTGGAGTTTATGGACCATGGGTGCAAATTGCATGTCAATAAGCACAGGGCAACTGCTAAAGTCTTTTCCTTCCCCTAGCTGATCCTTTCACAAACAGGATTGTGAACCGGAGCCCCAGATTAGCAGTATAAGGTGTGGAGGAGCCAGGGGGGAGGGAAAGACCTGTGATGTATGACCCCATGAGAATACTGAATGGGTTTTGTAAGCACTGCTTGATTGGGACCCCTTTCTTGCTTACAACACATTCATTATTCCCATTGGATCCTGAGTAACTCCTTAATTCCACCACAGGTAATGCAGATTCTCGCTTACTTTACAGCCATCAAAAACAGGAGTGGAGCGGAAATGGCCGGGTCTGGGAGCAAGGAACTTTCTCGGCCTTCCCTCTACATTAAGCAGACTTAACCAGACCCTCCCACCATCCCCAGGGCGGCTGATCCAAGTTTGCTGACTGCAGGGGGGCAGGCAGAGGTTAAGGGAAAGAGTTTAGGTAGCTCAGGACCCTTGGTGAGGACATTTTGGGGGTGGTCGACCCCCAAGCCCATCTTCCTATATGGAGTCCATGCTCCATGGCACTACTACACTTGACCCTTCAGATCCTCACAACCATTCCCATTTAAGTGGCACCCAAATCCTCAGCGTTCTCAGGCCCCAGTTTTCCCTTTGTAATGTAAAGGGGTCTATAAGGACTATCGGCACTGCAGGAGGTTCTTGGCACGTGAGGAATCCCAAGGTGCACTTATCATCAGGTCCCAGCAGGTGCCACAGATCCTCCCGGTCAGGCAGAAAATGCGGTGTGGAAAATATGGAGAACAAAATAGTGGGGCCTATCAGCCAGGGTGGCAGAGTCATGACTCCATGTCCCAACTCCACCACAGTGGAGATTTGAGGGCACACAGTGGGTAGACATGCTGTCTCCCCCCAACCTGTCCCGCGGCGGAGTGTAATGGAAAAGAGGCAGCTGAGTGCTGAGGCATCTTTCGAATAAGGGGCAAGGAGGAAAATAGGCAAGATGATAAGTTACACTTGTAAGAGAAGACCCAATGGCGAGGCGGCAGGCAGAGTGCTGGGGCAGGTGGCTTGAGGCCCAGTCAAGAAAGAAAGAGACAAACCTATGTTTTAATTCAATTTTCCACTTTTTTTTTTTTTTTTGAGAATTCTCTTATGCCACCGAAAGGAGGGCTGTTGCTGGTGGAATTTTCTAGTCGTTACGGAGGGGGCGGGATAACTACACCCGTCATCCACGAAGCTCCTCCCTCAGCCCCAGGGTCCCGGCTTTCCTGTCTGCGGTTCAGTCACTGAGCAACTACCCGAAGCTGGCGCGCTCGGCTGTTGGCCTGCGGGCGCGGGAGCCGCCTGGTGCGGCGCTGCCCTGCGCCACCCCTCGACCCCGGACGTATGGCTGAGGGCTGGGGGCCTGCCTCGCGGCTTCCAAAGCCTCGGACTTGGACGCCCTGGGGTGTGAAGGGCCCCCGCTGGGACCCGCTGCGCTGGAGACCAGGTGAATAGCGCCCCGCAGAGCAGGCTAGGCGGTCTGAGCTGGGCTGGCCCGTCACCCGCCACCGGCCCCGCGAAGCTCCTGGTCCTGTCGCCTCTGCCTCTTTGGTTTCAAGTCTCCTTTTCATCTACAAATCCACCCTTGGCTGTATTTTGCACCCTGCACGCCTGCTTTCTTGTGACTCCTCGGCAACGTGTGCTGATCCCCACAGGTGCCAGCTCTTGTGGCTTCATCCCTGCCCGCCTCTGCCTTCAATTTCAGCTCAAAAAGAACACCAAAGTGCTCATTAACACGTAGTAGGGGTTTACAAACAGGAGGAGCTTCATCGAGGATTCTTCCGGAGTTTTCTTTGTCCCTGCCTCCGGCGTCTGTGCGTCCATGGTCCTGCCTGTCTTCCTGTCCTGCCGTGTGTCTGATCCTCCTAGTTTTCCATCATCATACGTTGTCTTTTTGTCCTTTAGAATCCTGTGGCTCTCCTATCCCTGAGTCTTACCACCAAGAAAGTAGCTGCTTCCTGCCACGGTCAGAGGGTCCCTCACCCTGTCATTGTGCATGCCAGTTATACAGACAGCTCAGCCACTCTGGAGAGAGTTCCAGGACAGCCCCCCCTCCCCTTGGCCCCAGTCTCCAGGTCAAGGATGGTGGGGTCCTCCAAAGGAGATCCCAAAGTGTTTGACCTTGGGGCTTTTTAAAAATTAGAAAGATATATATATATATCTATAGGTAATTAGCACAATTTCCATATAGGCACCACAACTTCTGTTCAGCAGTTCTTTCTTGATCGCATTCGAAAATAGCAAGGAGGAAGTAACAAAGTGCTTGGGTTTCTCACCATAGATTTGTCATGGAACTTGAACATACTGAGAGACAAGGTCCTATGGGATCCTCAGGTCAGACACTGATTCATATGGCAACAATGCGGGACAGAGAGGGCAAGACTTTCAGCTAGCTCACACAGTACCTCAGCCTCTAAACCTGGAGGCAACTCTGGGAGGAAGGGGGAGTAATAAGCATCAGTAGTGTCAGTCCTGTTCATCCTGGGAGTCTTGATGCTTCTCTACCCGGTCCTCCAGGACCTGCCCTGCCTGCCTGGGAATGGGCATTCTCAGGCTGGGGTTGTCATTCCCCTGCCCACAGCGCAGGAGCTAGGGGGACACAGGGGCCCCAGTTGTAAGCCAGTTTGCCATACTCTCCACCCTTCTCCCTCCCAGTGCCTGGCACAGGCAACGTATGCATGGCCACGTGATCAGCATGGCCCATGCACACATGCAGAAAGTCCCACACCTGGTTGAGGGTGGCATCAGCATGGGGGCAAGCTTACGTGTGTGTGTGTGTGGGTGTGCGCATGCGTGTGCGGGCACAGGGTGTGGGAGGGAGACCGTGCTTGGGGAAGGACCCATTGGGAAAGGACAGGGGTGCCCAGATCCCTTTGCTGAGAGCTGCCTGAGCCACACCAGCTGCCAGGCATCTGGAGGCCTCCACAGCCTTCCCCACTGCTGGGCACCAGGTCTGCTTGCAGCACAGGTGCTGGGTACACAGTGCCGCCTGCAGGAGGGGTAGAGGGGGAGCCCTTCCTTTGTCATCCTGGGACCCTTCATCAGCCCACCTCCCGGGATTTGTCCTGGGGAAAGCCTTGGGGCGAGGGGGCAGGCCCCTGAGCTAGTTTGGGACCTCTGGATGCCAGGTCCTCAGAGTGAGGGGCCAGCCTGGGGCCAGAGACCAGGCCTGCAGCCATCTGGGCTGGCTTGGCCTCATGTCTTCCCCTTGCCTGCCATTCCCCTGCAGTCACTCACCCTCCCTTTCCTCTTTGTCTCTGCTCTCTCTGGGCCAGCCCTGGCCCTCCTCCAAGAAGACCCTCTGCCTCCTCCAGACCCTTCCTCTGCAGAAGTCCCAGGAATGTTGTCCATCTAGGAGCCCCAATCCCCCGGGAGGACACAGATGCGGAGAAGGTTCTAGAAAGAGTGGAGCCTAGGAATCAGGCCAGCTCCTGTTGCTGCTGCTGAGGAACCTGGGCCTAGCCAGGCAGGGCTGGGTGGGGTGCTGAGCCTCAGTCTGGCAGAGGAGAGGGTGGGAGCTGCTGGGAGTGTCCTTGGACGTGTCGGCAGTAAGGGGGTGCAGGGTTAGGGCAGGGGCAGTGTGGCGAGTGGCCTTGCTCTGCTCATCTGCCTTCTGTGAAAATGCCCCTCCTTGGAAGGATGGAGATGGGTGGGGTGGTAGGGTGGACAGCCTGGTCCTGGAGTCTGTGCCAAGCCCCCAGGTGCTCTGCCAGGCTCACCCCACTGCCTGGTGTGGGCGGGCAGGCCCCTGAGGGGTGGTGGAGTGGGTGCTCCCCCAGTCCATGGCAGCATGCTCTGGCCCTAGGAGAACCAGCAGGAAAGCTGGAGTTGGGAGGGCCCTCCTGGGTGTGCCATGCCAACATCCTGGCCCAGGGCTCTGCTGCACGAGTGCCAGGTGCCATGTGCTGGCCTTCCCCAGCCTGACCCCCTGAGCCTGCCATTTGCTGGGTGGTTGGCAAGCCGGGTTGCAGGTTCTTGGGTGTGTGGGAAAGAGCCTGGCCTGGGGTGTCTGTCTTCAGCAGCCCAGGCCCATGCTTGTAGGCAGCTAGGGGCTGCCCAGTGCTGGCATCCAGGGGGAGGAACGGCCTCTTGAGCGTCCTGGCTTGGGGAGGGCAGCCTGGGGAGGCTGAGGGAGCCCTGAGAGCCCCTGGCCTGGGCCTGGCCTGCCCAGGGTTTGAGCTTCCCTGCTGGGCAGCCCAGCACCCAGCTTCTCCTTCTAGGGGTGCCTTGGGAGGGGACAGGGTACACTGGCCTGGCCTGGGTGTAGTCTTTGTGCTCCTCCTGGGATGGAGCTGTGGTCCTAGCCCTACTCTCCAATGCACAGTGAGGTGCTGGTGTCCCCTCTGTTGCAGGCCCCTGCCCCTTCCTCAAGGATTTTTTTTTTTCATGACTCATGAGTACCCCATGTTGTAGTAGCCTGATCAATTGCCCTCTTTCATTCGGCTGGGTGTGGGACTCCAGCTCCTAGTCAACCAGACCTTCCCCTGGCCTGCCTTGTGGGCCTTGATGAGGCGTGCAAGAATGTGTAGACAAGCGTGTGGGTGTGCATGTGGGTATTGGTGGTCATGTGCTGGGTGGCGCTCATCTGCATAGATGTCATTTTTTGCCCTCTGAGCTCCTATTTCCTCTCTTTGCACCTCCCAACTGGGTTCCCTGAAATGACTTGCTGTGGTTCCTTCGGAGAAGGGTGGATTCCACTTGGCTCTTTCATGACTTGAGACTCAGCCGTCCAGCATGGGGTTCTGGGGCTGGCTTGTGACTGGCTGTGCAGCTTTTGTTCTCAGCGAGGGAGGGGCTGTAGGAACCACTGCGGGGACTCATGTAGGCCCTTATTTGGACCCAAGTGTTTGAGAGCGAAGCTAAAGGCAAGAGCCTATGGAGTTGGGCTCTGCCTCAGCCTGGAGGCCGGGGGCTGATTGGCCTTGAGTTGACATTGGGCCCAGCCGCACCTTCTACCTCTGCAGGCCCCTCCTTTGGCTGCTGTCTCTTTGCTGCCCACCAGGTCTCACGTTCCAGTACTCACTTTATTGGTGATGAAATGGATGGTAGAGTCATTCTGAGTGACATAGCCTGTAAGTGGTAATAGTGGAAATCAGCAATTTTTTTCTTTGTGGTCTTGGGTTTTTTTCCCGCCATTTTTCAGTATCTGAGCCGCTCTAGGTGGCACTTGTGAGTACTGACTGTGTGCTAGCCGCCCTTCTAAGGGTTTGTTCAGCGCAGTGGGCCTGCTTACCAGCCAGGTGAGGTCGGTGGTGTGACTGTCAGCAGCAATTTCTACATGAGGAACCTGAGGCATAGGCTCCCACGGCTGGGAATCTCTTCTGGCTTGAGAGTCCTTTGCCCTCCCTCTTGTGTGTGACAACTGAATCTGTGCTGCAGGCCTTGAAGCTCTTCCCCACCCCCCACCTGCTGCCTCCCAATCTCCCCCTCCAACACACACACAGACCCTGTTTTGTGGGCCCTCAGCCACATCCCATGCCGTACGTTTCACTGCCTAATGGCAGAGCTTGCAGCCAGGGCAGCGATGGCAATGGACAGTGGCATGACAGGACATACAGACGGGAGTGGGAATAGAGGCTGATGGGAAGAGGGAAGCCAAAGAACTAAAGGCTCAAGATGAGCCACTCTGGGTGCAATTCCCAAAGAAGCCTGTAGGAAGATAGCACTTCCTCATGCCTTCTCTGCATGATGTGCCTTGCTGAGTATCTGTTTCAAAACAGGCCGAAGTGGAAAGCCGTGCACGGGGCCTTGGCATGCTGTGATGGATGAGCTGTCAGCCTTTCAGAAGTTCATGGGATAAGGGAGAGAGATGAACCCAAAGGGAAAAAAAAAACCCAAAAACAAAGGTAGACCCAAAGAAATAGGTCTGACATGGTTTGGGCCATTTCAAAATGGTACAGTGTACATAGAAAATATTAGAGTTATAACTTTCTGTGATGGTTGGGTTTCCTCAGTCATTCAATGGATGTTTTTTAGTGAGCACATACTGCATGCTGGGCACTGTGAAATGCTTATTCTGGTTTCTAAAAGTAGTTCCTTTTATGTAGTTTTTGTGTTTCTGATTTTTTTTTTTAAGATTTAAAAATTTATTTGAAAGGCAGATTTACTGAGAGAGGAGAGGTAGAGAGAGATCTTCCATGCATTGATTCACTCTCCAGATGACCACAACTGCAGAAGTTGAGCTGATCTCAAGCCAGGAGCCAGGAGTTTCTTCTGGGCCTCCCATGTGGGTGCAAGGGCCTAAGGATGTGGGCCGTGCTCTGCTGCTTTCCCAGATGCATTAACGCGGAGCTGGATGGGAAGTGGAACAGCCAGGACTCATACCACTGTCATGTGGGATTTCTAGCACTGCAGGTGGCAGCTTTACGTGCTATGCCACTGCTCTGGCCACTGATTTAAAAAAAAAAATGGCTGTCTCAGAACCTATCATATCTTACTTAGCCAGAT